AATTGGAGTGGTTTTCATTTGATCGCTCCTATATATATATATATATATATATATATATATATATATAATGTTTAGATGATATGGAAAAGAGGATGAAATCCAGGTTTCAAAGGTTTATCCACAAATACTTATGGTGAACGGATAAAAAGCAAGAGAATGAGAAAATGAAAATGACTTTGGACTTATTTTCTCGTGACATTTATAAGTCAAATATGGATTTTTCACCGCTTAATATGTCATGGGTCGGTTGGTATCAGATAATAAAATGATAAATTCTATATTTTATGGTTGTATTGTTTCAAAGTTTTCTCATTAAGTTATGTATGAATTTAAGTTGTCTATATTGATTAAGATAACGTGGTGATTGTTTCATAGAATGTAATAAGATCGGAATTGTAATTTGTCAAAGGAATTGAAACGGAATTTAATCAGGGTCGACCATATGTTTCGTTGGCAGGATCGGAATCTGTTTTTTGGCTTTCTAAATGTAATTATAAAATTATAGTAAAATAGTGATAAATTACCAAAATACCCTTTCATGATGTTTTCATACTTTATTACTTAATTTATAAATACTATAGAATGATAAAATTAATAATGTAGCATTAAATATGGTTGTGGTGGTGGCGATGGTGACAATGGTGGTGGTGATGCCAATGGTTGTGGTGTGGTGGCGGCGGGTAAGGACGGAGGTGATAGTGATGGTAATGATGGTGGTGGCAGTGGTGATGATGGTGGTAGTGACAATCGTGGTAGCAATGGTGGTGTTGATGATCGTCATGGTGGGATGGAATAAATTAGAGTAATAAAATATCATAATAATCTTTCTTAAAAGATTTAATAATTTATGGAATTCAAATTCCTTACTGAAACCAAAGGAATTCAAATTTTGTTGTAAGTGAGATTAAAATTCCGTACTAAAACTCATAGAATGAACCAAATACATGAATTGAATTTGGCCAATACGATTGACCATTCAATTCCATCAGATTCCAGCAAACCAAACGTCAGCTAAATTATTGTTATGTTGTTATGTTGAATAAACAGTTTGAATGACATAAATGACCATTCCATTTATTAATCTATATCGGACACCAATTAAAATAATTGTTTGATGAATACGATGAATAATTTATTCCAGATGTTAAAAAATCAACAATTTAAGCGGTTTTTTATAGAAACAATGATCTAACACAATGAACGAAGCAAAAACATATTCCACGACTAGTTTTAATCAAATTGGGAATCTTAATTACCGAACCTTTTCATCATGAATATGATAAAAATATCATTAACCCATTAAAAGTTGCTTTTGAATCGGAAGAAGTTTTCTTTCAAGCATTTCATCACAACAATTAATGTGTTTGCAAACAAACTAAAATGGACTTATCAACTAATTGTTGATAGATAACCAGATACATAGTTTTACACGTTTAAATAATGTTGCACACAGACTGCTTAAGGAAAAACCTTCTTAGCATATTCGGGTCCAAATGTGGCAAATTGAAGTTGAACTATGACAAATGGCTTGGCCCAACTGGTACGGACCTTCCAAAAAATGTTCGATCTTTGTCTAGTTCAGATTTTCAATTCAATATCATAAAAATTCCGATATTATTAAAAAAAAACTACAAATTAAAAAAAAGATGGACTAAATCAAAAATCCAAACAAGTACTAGTCAAAAAAAAAAAGATCATGTCTAAAAATAACCGACAATAACGTCAAGACCGGTGTATATCTGGCATTAGGGGTGCTCATGGGTTGGATTGATCAGGTTGAAGACATTTGTACAACTCAACTCAATGCTTGAAGTTTGAAAAATCTTAACCCAACCCAACCCATACGGGTTGGTCGGGTTGATACTTTGGTACATTAAAATATTCTTCTAATCAAGAATATGTTATTTATCTACTCATAATTTTTTTTTCAACATCAACCATTTGATACAATTTATCCATACATCTTTCGTATACCACATTCAGTTAATTTTCTCAATATACATATATGTTCATAGTTACTGAACATATATACGAATGAGTTATATAAAAATGTAAATAGATTGAAAATGTGTATATAAAGAGCATACATGATAGTTTAATTGTCTAATGTACATATTAATAAAAATTCAACAATTATATTAAATCCAAGAAATAAAAAAATATCGGGTTCATCAGGTTGGAATGAATTCAAATAATATCAACCCAATACCTACAGTTTGACAATTTTACAATTCGATTAGACATCAAGTTATTTCGGGTTAAGTTATTTCGTATTAGGTTGGGTTGGATTGGTCGGATTTTTAAGCATCCCTATATGTTATCTGTTATGGTGGTGCATCAGGACTTGTCGCAGCTTAACCACTTAAGCTCATTGATGGAGCAATAGTTGAGCTTTATAGTTTCAAAACATCCTATAGTAATTAGTAAACAATACCACCCTCTTCCATAATAATATAACAGAACATACATGTTTCTTTCCAAATCAATAACAATTCCTACAGAAACAACTACTTCCCCTCATTTTCTTTCTTTCTATCTTTGATTTTTATATAATAATAAGATCTGAAGTGAATTAAATCCCAAGCAGGGATTTATTTTTTACACCAAAAACATAACCACCAATCATCCATTTCATCGTTCATTCATATACAGATTTCGTCTAGTTGATTTGTGTCAACGGTGAGCGTTGTGCAGTCGGAGATATCTTCGACTCCTTTACTGCAAAAGAATGGTTTTCTCGGAACTCTTCCACTAAGCTCTCTATTGCCATTGCACGAAGGGACTCTATACTCACTTTACTTGGAACATCAGTCTCGCTTCTTACCGGGGTATTTCCAGATGGCTCGTAATCCTAAATATACATTAGCATCATGTTAAAACAAAAACACACATTATCCATATTGCCTCTTACAGGGTCCTGTTTACTTACTACTGATTCAATCAGCACGTTCCCATTAGTTACTGGTCTTACTGAAGGTACTGACTCCCTCTCAATCAGCACCTACCCAATCAGCATCAAAATCTTACTTATAAGGGGCAGTTTGCTAAATGCCATCTGGGGAAGCACTTGCCGGGCCACTTACCTTACTGAGTGAGCATGGCGAGGACCAAAAATCTTACTCGGTAAGAGACGGCGCAAGGATCAACGATCTTACCCTGTTAGCTCTTACCAAGTAAGCTTTGTTGCTTACTATGCCATTTTGATGGGCCAAGAATCTTACTCTGTTAGGTAAGTAAGGATTACGACTTTTGCCCGGTTAGCGTTTGGTAGATGGCCCCTTACTTGATTGGTGATTAGCCGGATCACCTTCTTACCGGGAAGCTTTTACCCAATAAGGCCCAGTAAACAGCCCCCAAGAGTTCTTTTAGATGTATACCGGCAAAATACATAACTAGGAAAAGCCACTCTACTCTTTCTCTAAGTATATAATATTATATATGCAAATGCTCATGCACACTCCTCACTTTTGATGAGGCTTGAGCCCTGACCTCCTGGGAGGTCGGGCTCTACCAGTAACCCGGATACCACTAGACCAACAGGCAGAGAACAAGTTTGCTTATATCCCACTCCAAAACTCCACCTCCACGTGGGATATACTAGGCTCGTTTGGTTTAGTTTACAGTTCTCATAAACCTATTCTTTATTTATTGCATATTGCAGAAATAACGTGTTAGCTTTTGCGCTCAAAAAGAAAAAGCATCATCATACCATGTATTTCTGCTGGAAAGTATCATGAGCCTTCTGCTCTATCGAAGATGATTGTCTTGCATGATCCTCCTGTAGGCTCTTAAGACTTTTGGCCTGAGATTTTGTTGTTTCTAGAATTTTAGAAACGGCCTCTCTCTCTTGTTCTGATGTACCTAGAGTGAGTACCCATACCATAAAGAACATCACTACAGTGGAAATGATGATGGCTCCACAAAAAGGAATACATTCACATTCAGCTAAAATAGACATATAAAGAACATGTGACAGAAAAATCAAGAAGCACAGAATAGGTGTAGTCTTCCACCATTTAACAGCTCTGATATTTATTTAGATTTATCTCGAATATATGTCAAAATAAATTAAAATAATATCTTCCCTTCACATCATGGACCCAATTTTACATAACATTTTGTTCTAGATACAGAAAGAACATCTAAGGGTCTGTTTTTTAGCAGCTTAACGAGACTCAGCTTAATCGGTCAGCTATACATGACTGATTGCAAGTCGCTTGATGATATAGAAAATGGCTTATTCGGTAAGTTTCTAGAGGAGAGCTTTATGCAGAAAGCCAAGTTTTTTTTCCTTATTGTGCTTTTATTCCAGCCAATGGTAGCAAAGACAGAAAGAGAGGTGAACATTAAGTTGAAATGGTAGGAGGGCGACAAAACAAAAGGATTCCGCATTAGCCACTCTAAGACTGCATACATATGTCACAATTTCAGCAAGAAGCATAATGATGAAGGATAGAAATCAACATTGGGTAGCAAAGGGTACCCAAAATGATAGTTTCTAGTATTTAGGCTCCATGATTAGAAAAAGAGATGTTGAGAACGACGATACACACCACATAAAGACAAGGTGATGAAGGTGGAGGACAGCCACAGAAATGTTGTGTAATTAAGTCCACTTAAGCCGACAAGGCAAATTCTACAAGATGACCGTCAGACCAGCTTTGTTGTATGAGAGTGAGTGTTGCTCAATATAGAAGGCAAGTGAGACGAATCTGGAAATTATAAAGATATGGATGCTGAAATGGACCTATGGTTGGACCTTGTGGACAACATACAGAACGGGTTTTTAGTGCAGAGTAAGAAGTTGCGACCATGCACATATCACAAACAACTAAGATAAAGAAGATTGTGGTTTGGCCTCGTTAAAGATGTTAGACCTTAGTTATATTTTTACATCATCTAAGAGGAATAGGAGTTATGGGCATTCCAGTCTTTTCCATGTTAAAGAGAGGAAAAGTAGTGGGAGTCAGTTAGCATAAATGAATAAGGAGAGATCAGATGGGCATGTTCTTAATAACAGATTTATATGGAGACTCTAAACTTCGCCAATCGTGAGGAAAGTAATCATTCAAAGAATCTTTTGACATTAATTCTTGAGTTTTCTATCAAATTGTTGAGTAAGCCTCAACGGGAGACAGATGACAGCACTAGCAAGGAGTGGAAAACATAACGATCGAAAGGTGGAAGAGGGGGTAAGGTCAAAGAGGATGTGAGACGAGCAGTTGAGGCTAGACAGGAAAGCCTTATACCTTTCTAAAGGCATGACCTGAGTTCATGAAACACAGAACAGAGGTAGCAGATTTGTTGTAGAGACTAATAGCTAATGTAGATGGGGTAGAGTTGGCATTGTCATAGGAGGGTTAAAGAGAGAGGATCTTTACCTAGCATATTATGTACTTTGTTTAAGCTGTTTAAATTTTTGTACTTCCTCCTCGGCCTTACTGTCACTTGCTTGTTTTAATTTTTTTCTCCTCTATTTCCTTGCGGCCTTTACAATTTACCATCCTTCATGCATGTTTGCACACTCTTTTTCTACTCATAGATTCCTCTGTGTCATGCTCTCTGATTTCTCTCCAAATCTTCAAGAATTTCAAAAGAATGGGCAGACTTTGTGTTTCTCTCATGACATTTCAAACCTTTTCACAAACCGCGATTATTCATGGGAACAGCCCCTCCACTCGTTGGGTAGAGGAAATATTTACATACATCCTATCCCGCGGACCCCACTTCCGAGGGGGATATACCATGTACAATTGGTTTAATTTTCTTTATGTAACTGCAGAAATCTAGCAAGTCATTTTTCCTTGGAAAATGAACGCTTCGTGTTGAAGTGTATTTTTGTTTAATCTAAGTTTCAAGGTATAGCTACTATAGGTTAGGGTTTATAAAGGCTCCGTATTGATGTAAGTGGTTGATCGAGTAGTTGAGTTATAGCTTTTTAATAGTTGATCTACTAGTTAACTCATGTTTCTCTTTTCTTTTTGAACTTAACGAAACAGCAGCAAAACAGGTGAAAAATGGAAAGTTATTAGTCAGTCATTCCCCCACCTCCCAATAAAAGGTCAGGAGAAAACAGAGCACAATTCCAAGAAACTCACCATCTATGTGCTTTGAAATATCCTCACTATTCTTCAACATGTCGCCTTCAACATTGGCCCTTAAAGAAACAATCTCAGCATCATGATGTTCATTACTATCCGATGCACTCCTGCAGTATTGAAAGGTATAGGTGTCACTATCTATTTGCATTGTCTACCATAACTAATATAAGAATAACTGCAGGATCATAAAGTCATGATTAGCTGACATCAGTATATATCTGCTGCAAAAACATAGATGGGCTTCAATTATCCAATTGTATCTTGTCTGCTGCAAAACCAGAATAGGCAAGTACAGATAACTAACCTGATGATCGAGTCCACAGCTGTGACATGTTTTCTTCCCATTTCAGTCACAGAGTTGTGCGTCTTTTTAGAATGCTTTTGAGCCAACTCAGTAACATCGACACTGGATGAGAGAGTTGTAAAGAACCACAAATTAAATGTAAGCTTAGCTCTTGATACAATCCATCCCATAGGAATCAGCCAAAAAAAATTGCAAAACTATCTCCTCTTACCATTTTTGTAGCAGTGACTCAATGCGGCAGTGTTTAGCAGCAGCAAAATCAGCATTCTCTGTCGCATCACTTTCTACTTGCATGGAAAAATCTTGCCATTTTCTTTTGGCATCAGATGTTACTCTCTCAAAAGATGAAACATGCCCATCCAAAACTTTCTTGCTTCCAGCAGCTGTCTCTTTAATGCTAGCTAATCGTGCATCCACCTGCCAACTCAACCATCAGTCCACTATACTTTAAAGAAAAGAGAGCAAGTACAAGCAAACAAACCATCTCTTTTTGACGACAGATATGATTTGTGACCAAACTTGTTACTTCAGCAATAAGCTTCTCTGCGTCAGATTTTGAGTTTTCCTGGAGAAATGTATTTTAAAATGTTATATATTAGTTGTTTTGCATTGCATTTAATATTGTTCATTATATACCTCATATGCCTTCTGAAATTCATCAATGCTCTTTGTTTGTATCTCATCAACTTGGATGGCATGAGTTCCTAGATCTTTAGATTCCTTCATCAGCTTATCGAAGAATTCATGGACAAACTTGGATATCTCCGTTGTATGCCCAACGCTGATATTAAATCTCTGAAAAGTTAATGATACCAATTTACCAATGTGAAAAAGAATATTTATGCAGATCATATATTCTTTAGCAGTAGAAAAAGCAAGATGCAACAAATAAAAAAACACACAAAAATATCATATGATTTTAGCACGTCTATATCCTATTTTCACACACTGAGGATAACAGATACACTAACAAAACCAAGTAGACATTAATAGGAGGTTTAAAATATCATCATCTAAAAAGTAGACCTTTTATCTGATCAAACACAAGAAAGCTGGTCAACAATGTCAGATCCCTTAGATTTTAAGATATCTTCATCAAAGGATGACATAAAATAAAGCCACTGACCTGCCGAAGCTCTCTAGCAAAATATGCCATCTCTCCTTGCTGAGTTGATAAAGTGCCTTGAAGCTCATCAAAAATAGAAATTCCTTCAGCAGCTTCTTCAGCTAGTAGCTAATTGAGAGAGAGCAAGTGTAGTCAATATGTGCACTGATTACTCATGATGGATAATTACAAAGGTCAATTGTTTATTACTTACTTTTTCAACAAAACAAGAATTAGAAGAAACCAAAGATAAAACCTCCTCTAAGCTGGCATTAGAGTTTGCTTTGTGCAAAAGCACAACATTTTGCAGCGCCTCAATGTGAGAAACATACAACACTTTCGAAGCAGCAACTTTCTTTTTTATGTCGATGATTGCCTAAAACATAAAAGCGTTTAAGCAATCAAATCCGCAAGGTAACAATAACATTCAAGTGGACATGCATGCATTGAAACTGTACCAAATATGTGTATAGAATATCAACTCTGGAGGAAGGGATAATCAAGGTGTAGGTTGTAACATATACATTTGTTCCAATAATTGTGCTAGAATAAAACACTCCTAATATCCCTTTAAACAGTTCAGGCTCCAGAGATTGAGATTGATCCATTTCAAACGCATAATGTTGATAATTAAGGAATGACGAGCCTAGTGCTTGCGGTAAGTAGAAGAACTCAGATTCCAAATGAACAAATTCAAACTTGAAAACACATGAGAATCTTCCAACATAGACAGCACAGGTTACATCTCTTGTAGAATGTACAGTGTCAACCATATCAAGGGATGAAGTTATAAGAACACATGTGCTTATGAAAAAAAAGCTCTATAGAAACCAACAATTCAGTAACGTTCTCCCTTTCTAATAAATAGTTTAGTTAAATATTTATTAATTTTTCTGATTATATTTTGGTATGAATTTCACTATTCGACATCCCTGATGTGACTTAACTAAAACGTAATAAAATTAAAATGAAAATAAAGTAGAACATTCAGAGGAAACATGAAAAATATACAGAGTTAAAAGAGTTCACAATTTTGATCTTGATCTTGCATGTGCATCTTGGTTTAAAAATGCGCGCATAATGCGCTGTGATGCGCTGAAGAAAACTCATCAAAGGGTCTGATGCGTTGCGATTCCATGATGCGCTCGCATCACCTACGCATCACACGATGCGTGCATCACTTATGCATCAGCGCATCATGTATGTTGCATTTTTGGGCTCCCTTTTTCAGTTTTTAGTTGGGCTTTTTAATTGGGCTTTTTAGTTGGGCTTCTTAGTTAAGTAAAATAGAACGTGAGACTGTGAGAGACCTAATAGAAGAAGCCGACAGCGCAGAAGTAGAAGTCGCACTGTGAGAGACCTAGCATCGCATATCAATTAAAACGTGACATGAGTTGTTGTCGATACTCGACAACCAGCAAAGAAGTAGAAAACGAACTTTTTAAGATTCTAATGCCACTTTTTTAACTACTTTATGTTATAAATGAAGTATTTTGATAGGTAAGTATTTTTAAGGTAAAAATTGATATGTAGAATTAATTTATAAATATTTTTTGAATACCGGGCGCATCACGTGCGTGATGCGAGCGCATCAGCATCACGCATCACACATCGGCTTCCGGGACCCTTAACGCATCGGACCGCATCGCGCTTATTAAAACCAAGATGTGCATACATATATAAAGGTTGGTGAATACAAGATGAAGCAACTTTGTTTCCAGTTTGAATTTACTTGAACGAAAAATGTTGAAAGCAAGGTTCACAGTGAGCAGTGAACCAGTCCCTCAAGGTAGAAACCGCTTACGGGTGACCTTTGAGCATATCCTCAAAGAAGTTCCAAATGCTTTAAAATTCAGGTTTAATACTTGAATACATTATATTTCTAGGACAAGTTACATAGTGAATTACCCAAGAGATCATCTGTGGTAATGTATCTAAGATTTTGTTATCTATTACAAAATTTTAGGATCCCCAAGAAGCATGTGTGACAACTGCATGTTTTACATGGAAGGGGATGAATATTTTCGGTAACAAAAAAACATGCTATTAGTGGAGTTCTATTGTATAGGATTAGTACCAAAATTCTGTGAATGTTGGAAAGTTATCAATTGGAAAAAGAAAAAGCATCTTTTGCCACAACTTAAACAATACCTTATCATTAATGTTGATGAAGGTGTGACAAAATTTCTCAATGCATTGAAGTTGTTCATTTTGCTGAGATGTTGATGCAGCCACCAGGTTGCAAAGAGATGTAACATCTTGTGTGAGCTCAGATTCAAACTTGTTCACAACTGACCTATTACCAGCACTCAGTTTATCTTCTCTTGCTGCATAAAAGTAAAGAAGAAACAGTTAATAATCCATAAGAAGTTGACAGAGAATATGTTAGAGAAGAGAATGCATACCAATCTTTGCAAACAATGCCGCATTGTCCTCAAGAGATCTTTCCAAGTCGTGCCGCAAAACACATGCTTGATGAGCCAGTGCATTTTCTGTTTACAATGTTCATTAGTATATAACATATGAAGTATCAGAAAGTTCGACATCTAAACTATCCACATACCTGCTTTTTTCTGCTCGCTTATGATAAAATCTCGCTCATTGATAGCATATCGACATTTCTTCAATTCTTCCTGGGTACTGGCCAGCTCCTTATTGGTTTGATTCAAGTTGTTCTAAAGAACATGGAGAAATAAAGAATAGAAAACAAAGGATATATGTTTAGTCACAACATAAGAGGTCCAACAGCAATGCATGTCACTCACTAGCATGATTTACCTGGGTAGAATCAAGTTTGTAGCTCAAATCAGAGCACTCTCGGACACGAGCATCATATTTAGTTTGCAATTCTTCAAATTGCTGTTTATGCAACAAAAAGAAGGATAGTAACAAATGAACAATGTTATCCTAGCATGAAAGATAGCTCATACCTCTACTCCCTCTGTTCCAAAATAAAGGCAACAAATTCCTTTCAAGGGTGTCCCAACTCCTGAGATAAATTAGCCGTTCCCGTTTTGGCAAAGTTTCAATCAACACTTGCCTCCTTGGCAATTAGCAATATTGCATGATATTAATGGTGTTTATTTTATTCCACAACATTCTCCTACTTTGTCATTATTGAAGATTTTTTCACTAATGGTCGAAACACCTTCGGTAACTTATTTGCACAATCAAAAGTTGCATTTGTTTTGGAACAGAGCCTGTAATATGAATGCAAATGGTAAAACATAATACCTTTTGCTGGTTTTCTATCTTAACTCCCATTTGTTCAATCTGATCTGCCATTGACTAGCCAAAAAAGAAAGTTAAAATCATATATATGCAGTTATGCAGCAATTTATTTATTCAATTTGAACTTTTAAAGAACAAAATATGATTATATGGAACCACCAAAATTACAAAGTGAAGTCCAAAAAACCATCCAATACCTTACGTTCCATTTCCTCTTGATAGTATCGCTCTTTCGGTATATGAACACCATTTTTCTCACGTGAGGCATAGACCTCTGCAAGTAGAAATGAACAGACAAATCAGCTATCATTTATGTCTAATTAATACCTTTTTCATCTCTTAATTGCATTATTTCAAGAAGCAAAGATTTTACCAGCTTTGAGCCTTTCAATTTCACCATAAAGATCTTTGATAAGAGTTGTTTTCATCATCTTCTGATTTACCTTGAAAAAAAAGACAAGTATAAAAATTCAGAAGAGATTAGAACATTCAACCACCTAGAAGATGGAACTACCAACAGAACACAAGAGAACATAAGTTGTGAAATTTAAAAATATTACAAAATATCGTATTCAGTGGAACTGGGACAAAAAATTTGATTTACTTCCCAATACAAAATGGAATCATTCATACAGATTAGGCACAACCTGGACTAGATCAGGATACCAATAAAAATACATCTCCTCAAAGGAAAAAAAATAGATTGATTGATTTTAGTTGCATGTCTAAAATGCAAGGAAACTATAAAAATACAAATGCTTATTTCTAAACTCATCAAGAAAGATAGAGAATACTAGATAGGAGGCTAAAGAAGGGCCTTAAACTAAATCACTAACAATTTGAAGGAGAACAAGGAGAGGCCATCAATTTGTAAGAATTAGAGGCTAACCTCGGGTTTGTTCTTTATATTTTTTGCCCTGTGAGCGTAATCCAATGTGCTCAAGGTCTCTTCAAGACAATGAACAGCAGGAGACACTGTAGCAATGATACATGTTTTGGTTCTTCCACCCAATGAATCACGAAGTAGACGGGTCAGTTTGCTATCCCTGATTTGGGTAAAACTCAAATATTAGAATTTGGACACCATAAATGATCAAAAGTAAAAAGAAAATTGTCAAATTGCTTAATGTCATAAATATTGGCAATTGAGAATAAGACAGAAGAATGGCAACTTGAGAAAGAGCATAAATGGCTGGAGAGGGTATCTAAACAAAAGTTCATCCAAACCTATACGGGATGTGCCCAAGATGCTCCACAAGAGCATTTATTACTCGTCCTAGAGTAAGTAAACTTTTGTTTATTTCTCCAGCTTCTCTTGCACGACCCTGAAAAATTCACATTATAAACTCAACAAAAAGGAATATATAGGAACAAAAATATAATGGTCTCTGCAAGATCACCACAAGTGTTGCAAGAAGAGAAATTGCTTTTCACGAACTTGATTATTATTGAAAATTTGGTGGTTATATTACCTCTCTAGCACCAGACCGAGAAATATTTTCAGAACCAGCTAGATCGACCAGATTCAGTTTGCCACATTTGATAAGCTCTTCACCTTCTGGGTTGGCCTCTTTGATGTGTATAGTTATAGAAAACAAAGAATGCGACCGACTGAGAAACAGGTAATTGTCAAAGCAGGACAATGAGATTTCACATTAACATTAAAGTGCATGCAGAATAACTCAAAACCTTGATTGCTTATTTAATAAGGTTTCTGCAGTTCGACGTTTCGCGGATCCCCTCTCCAATAACGAGAAAATTTCACTAGCACTCGTTACAATCTCCTCTTCCAGTCCTCTCACAAGAACTCCACCTTTACCATCTTCCATGAGCGGAAGAAGCTTTTTCTGCTTGTCTTCAACGACTCTAGAAATTTCTTCAGGAGCAAGCAAATCAGTGATCTCCTCGTTATACAACTCCAAAAAAGTTACTTTAACACTATACTCTGCATTTTGGTGCTCCAAAGTGTCGAAAATTTGTTTGACAGCTCTAGGGATTACTCCTGCTCCTGAAGGTAACTCTCCATTAGGCCCACTCTGTCAATGGATAGACCAGAGGATGTCAATTACTAATAACAACAAAGTACAAAAACAAACTGCAAAAATCAATGTACAACAAAGAAGACCTGCTACCTTCGACCTCTTACATTCACCCTCCATGGTGTAAGTTTTTCCAGTGCCTGTCTGTCCGTAGGCAAAAATAGTACAATTAAATCCTTCTAAAACTTCATTCACGATAGGAATGACTGCTTGTTCATATAAATCTTTTTGATGAGCGGTAGGTCCAAAAACCTGCATCCAAAAAGATAATAGTACTTTATAACTAAGCATTGCACCATGGAGTTCTTACAGCTCTATACTATCTTGTGTCTAATGAATCCAAACCTCAAGGCTCACCAAACACCTGGGAGGATGAGGTAGGCAAATGGAAGAAAAAGAAAAAGGCTTTGATTAGAATGTTATTGATTGTCAATTTAACATAATCATACTATCAGGCTTATAAACCTTTTTCGATTTTTGTAAATCAGTTCTCCTAATGATCTCCATTCCTTGATGGACTTTTATAATCAAGCTGGTTCCAGGATTAAGATGAGGCACCCGTTTAACCATTTCTAAAATATGGAGAAAAACAGTCACGAGAAACATCATTAAAATTCAATAACTATAAATTTAAAACGCAAAACCCTGCCTCTAAACATCGTCGAATCACAAGTTACCAATGCATACAGATTGCAAGAAATTGCAACTTCCCCAAATCAAAAGAAAAATAATAAGAATCAAATGACTATGTTAGTAAATCAGATACCTTGTCAAATGTGAAAATCCTATCGATTTGCTTCCCAGCAATATTCTGCGAAACGGCAACTTCTCTCTGGTAGTCATTACAAGTTACCACCTGAGGCGCGTTGTTCCTTAACTCATCGTCACTAAACGGCCTAACAAACAGTCAAATCAAAAGCGAGCATTTCCATACACTGAATTAGATTGTCATCAACATAATCTATAAGCAGTATCCAAATCACAACCCAATCAAATTGCACCAAACTTAAACCCTAGCATACCATTTTTCCACCAACAAAAAAAGAAGATTAGAGCATTAAGTAGATTGGCAGTACCTGCACCGGAGAAGGACCTGAACATTGACGCCTTTTTCGTGGCGACCGGACATTTTTGCACACAGAGAATGCGTGTGTGTGTGTGTGTGTGTGTGTGTGTGATAGATGGGGAGATTATCTGGCGTCTTTGTGTTATGTGTTTGCTTGGATCGAACGTTGTGTTCTCTCCTCAAAACGAAATGAGAAGCAGCGGGATGGATCGGAGTTTTTGAAATTTTGAGGGCCGCTCTCCAACGTTTGATCTGACGGTTGGTGGTCGATGGAGTTCGATCCGACGGTATATATACTGCCAAGATCTGGATCAAGGCACTGGCTTGACCAAATTGCCCTCCGACCGGGTTTTTCTAGCCTTTCACTCTTTTTACTTGTGGGTATTTATTTGTTTATTTATAAATCAGAGATTTGAGAAAAAATTCTAACTGTTATGTTAGTGACTGTTTGGTAGTTGCTGAATGGTTCGGTTTAGAATGATTAAAAGGCTCGTATTATATAGTACAAAATAAAATATAATTGTTTGGTAATTGTTTACGATGAAATTAGCACGCTTAATGGTTAATGGAGACCCAAGATACAAATCATTCAAAATGTTTTAGAACCATTAAAAGATAGACTTTTTTTTGCCAAACAAGATTCACCTCTTAATGATTTAGAGTCTGCCTCTTAATAGAACAGACTATAATTTATTTTATCGGACAAAATTGTGGTACATCAAAGCATATCTTATGCAACAATTTACCTGGTAAGCGTTTACTCGGGTAAGAGTCATCACCCTCACTTACCGGGTAAGACTCTACGTTCTTATCATCGCTCTTACCGGGTAAGATTCTTGCTCATTGCCATGTTCATCCGGTAAGGAAAATTGCCTAATAAGTACTTACCGAGTAAGAGTTTAGTAAACAGCCCCTTAATCACTCAAAATTAGAATGCATGTTGGGTTTTTTTAGATTTTTTCTTTGAAATTTCGATAAAATGACGTTGATTTTTATCATCTTATCATCTAAAGATCAACAAAAATGAGTTCAAGTTGAGGGTTGTCGAGTTTATGGTTCATTGTGTTTGAAGGGTAGTGTCTTTAGGTGCATACACGACATGATGTCCCCATCTAGTCGCGAAGACCAAGTTACGAGCTTGTCACATATCAGACGCTACCTTCTTGCAACTTATGGGATTTAGTTAGTGTCAGACTTGTATGTCGGTTGATAAGACACTTAGGGGCTGTTTGGTTCATTGATTTGAACGGAATTGAAAGGAATTGTAATGGCCAAATCCTTTGACCAAATTCCAAATACAATGTTTGCTTCATGGAATAAATTTGATGGAATCCTTTCAATTCCAATAAATTTTTTCACTCACATATTTTAAATTCCACGACAATACCCTTGGATTTCAATTCCTTTCCGACAAATTCCTTATCTAATCCAAATTCATTCAACGTTGCGTCTACCATCTCATATAATTGATTTATGGTTCGATCTCCATCTGATACACACTCTCTCTCTCTCTCTCTCTCGTAATTTCTCCATCTATACGAGAGCGATAGACAACACATGAAATCAAGGAATCGATTCAAGATAACTAGGTATTGATATCACTAGTCCAATTCCGTTATTCAAAAATCATAAAAGGTCATTTGTTGATATTTAATTACGATTCCAAAGTTAAATTCCGTGAACCAAACAAAAAAATTACAACCCGTAAATAATTTCATTCCAATTCCATGCAACCAAGCGCAATCACAAGCCATGGTCAATGGTCGGTTATATCTCACACCTTTAGACTAATGAAATTGGGCCACAAAGCAAGTATGCAATACGGGCCAACGTCGTTTTTCCAAGTAATAAAGTGGTACAAGTATCGAATTATCATCCACAGAGATTGTAGTCAAAGTTAGATTAGAGTCCAATAAAAGAGATGATTTCAGATGACGATTTTGAAGACTTTTGTTTGATATAAGGTGAATTCAAACAGAATACATAATATATAAAAGAAACAAGGGTGTAAGACTTAAGGTGAGACCCAAACACAAATTCCAGCAGCCAATGCTATAGGAATGCTACAGCAAGCAGTGTTTCAAAACTAAGTTCCACCATCTATTTTGAAGGCATTCCTCTCGGACTTCACCATTGCACTATCTTATAGCTTTCCACTCATATCTCTATGTGGTGTCCGGACCGGGGATAGTGACACGATGGTGCTTTCAAAATATATGGATAAACAAATCTATTTGTTAAAAATCACTCTTTTGAGTCGATTCCCATATCATTCGAGTTGGCGTGTTCTTGATAGTTCATCTCTAAATCTATCACACTTTGACACTTCTGAATAGTGACCAACCCGTCGGGAGTTATGTTTTGAAAAACATAAATGACAAGTCTCCTTGTCGGCAACTTTCTCAAGTCTACCTCTTATGTCATCCAAATTGACGTGCTTATTAATGACTTATCTCTAAGTTCATCGCACTTTAACACTTTCAAGTGATCAACCCATCAAGAAGTGTGCTTGGTTTTGTAAAAACTCGAATGAAACAATGGAACGTCGTTTACGAAAACACTTAGCTACTTTCGTTTGGTTTGAAAATCTCACATTTCCGTCTCACACCCAGCTATAAAAGTTTAGCTACTCATAACGGAAAGTAAAAAATAAATGACGGAAAATAAAGACATAAACGTAAATTGGGTAAAGTAAATAACGAGAAAATAAATGATGAAAATGTAAATGACGAGAAAATGAATGGCGGGAATGTAAATTGCGAGAAAATAAATAACGGAATGTAAATGACAATAATCGTAAAAGAACGTAAAAATAAAAGACGAGAATATAAATGATGAAAAAGATGAAGAACTCAAAAGATTAATAAAAACCATCATTGGAGATAGTTTACAATACTAGCTAATGTTTTTGATGGAGAGAATGGGATACAATGGATGAAAGATGGATTAATGGATGATAGATGAAGGCACCCCAAGCCTTCATTTTATACAAAAAATGGGTCACTAAAAGATTTGGAGGCTAAGCTTCCAAAAGTTTAGTTACATGGCAACAAAAGAGTAACTAACAAGTACAATGGTCTAACCAAAGTCTAAACATCAGATTTTAAATCAAAAAGTCAGCTTCTACAGCTGTCTTCCATTAGTCAAAAAATCAGCGTCTTGACCATTAAGCCCTCCAAAAAGCTACGTATGAATCAAATTGACGTTGCACCAATGTTGTAGCATCCTGCTGTTTTCACAAAAATTATATATTAGCTTCATCCAAGAGTACCAACAAGTCAACCACAATATTTAGCTTCATAATAACAAATGTATAAAGAAATAAATAAAAATGACTCAAAGTGGGAATGAAAATAAATTATTCTACCTAATAAGACGTAAAACAAGTGCTTTATGTGTTAAATTCTCAACACATATCAGCCAAATTCCATTCAATTCCCTTAAAGTCAAAATTATTTGATGAATTTCAATTCCATCGAATTCCATTATATGAACCAAACGCCCCATTACTCTTTTAGCATATGCTAGTTCAAAGGTAACATCCCGATTAAGTCGGCCTTTCGCGGGTTGATTTTAAGCATTCCAATTTAATGTTTCACTTGACATTATGCAAGGTCAAATTGTCAGGTAAAATGTTATGTTTAGTTATGGTTTATGTAGGTATCATTCACACAATTTTCAGCTAGTTCTTACATGGTTCAAAGTAGGGGTATTCACAGTCCGGTTTGAACGGTTTAATCCCTTAAACTGCAATGACGGTTCAAGAACATTTTCCTAACCGAACAGTTTGGTAGTAAGTGACCAGACCAGTCAAATAGGATCACAAAAAGAAAGTATAGTCTGACCGGTTTAAACAGTTTGGGCCTAACATGGGGTTTAAACTTAAAACTTAATCTATCTCAAAAATTAAATTTCTACAATATCACATTGTTAAAAATACATTATATTGAATTATAAAATAAACATCTATCTCCAAAATAATAATAAAAAATAAACAAACCACTAACAATAGTTGGAATTTTAGATAAACGTTGAACAAGTAGGGAAACGGTTAAGAATTTTAAATATTGATTTTTGACGGATTTCATAATTTTGTCGATCTACGGAATGCGGATAATTGAGAAGTGAAAAATAAAAATTTCACATCTAAAACGAATTTCTATAATTATAGCATAAAAGTATAGTCTACAACATGTAAACTAAATATAATTTGTACATGTATATTTTTGACGGTCAGTTTGGTCCAAACCATTTATAAAAAAAGTTTAAACCGTAAATTGGGCAGGACCGAGCGGTTTAACTATTTTTCAGACCGGACCAGATCATCAAAACCGCAAAAAAATGTCCGATTTGACTTGGTTTGACCGGTTTGAGTGGTCCAACGATTTTTTTAACACCTTATGTGTGTGTAGGAGGAGCGATCAAATGCAAGCCACCCAATTTATACAAACTATGAAATTTAACTAGATGTGATCATTTTGGAGGCTTGGACTAAACACTGGTTGGACCAACCTAATTTTTTTCTCTAGTAGCTTGAATATAGGAAACCAAGTTTTTTTCCGAGCTTAAAAAGTTGTTCATATCCCCCTATTCTCGTGAGACTCGTAAGACCAATGCTCAACCCTTTGATTAGATCTACAATCTGACAATCTGAACATTTATAAATGTCACGAGACTTCTCAATAATCACAAAATTACCACTGTGCAACTTTAGACCATTAGATAATTAGCTTATAAAGTTGATCAATGAACATAAATTGGTCTTACAGGTCTCACGAAAAACCCTTGATCTCACATAAACCCAACTATACATGTACATATACATATATGTATTATAGTACTTATTACATGGTAGGAACCACATAAAAGGAATCATCCCTTCATGTTAGTTTATTGTGAAGTCATATTGGGAGCTACCAGAACCATGGACAAAGACTACATCATCACCACTTTATTTTGTACTAAAATAATAAGCATTTTACAACCCAAAACAAAAACAAGTGGTTTCATTTAATATTATTGATTTGATATTCATATCATCATATTTTAAATGTTTTGCAGTGTAATTTTATTTATTAATCTGGGTATCCAACCTGCTATGCAAGTCGATTAATCTCAGGACGATCACCTGTTTTGCAGATAACCTGGAGTCACCGCATTTAAACCTCCGTGGCCACAATGAGATTTTATTCCTTCTTGGAGTAATTTTATTTTCATTAAGTATCATTTTTTGAAAAAACTTAACCAATTATGTATTAAATGTGTAAATTTTTAATTTTTTTTACTGTGATATTCTAATATACTGTATTAGACATAATTGTACGATTCAAATTTATAACATTTGTAGTATGAAATCCACGGTGAAACCCTATTTTTGTTTCGGTTCAATTGATGGACCAATTTCCTTAAAAATTTGTCTCAAAATTATTGGTGATAGATTGGACATGTCAAAACATATATTTAATAAATATTTTCAATCAAACGACCAATTGTCAAGGCATGTTAAATAGTTGGGGTCAACACGGGTTGGATTGGTTGGTAAATCAAAATATTATCATATTTTTATCACCTTTAATATGAGTGTTTTCTCTACTTATAAAACTTTTATTCATCATCAATCAATTGGTATAATTTATCCATATTTCTTAAATATATCACATTCAACTGTTTTTCTTAATGTGCGTGTGTGTGTGTATATATATATAGGGTTGGGTTAACGTGAGATTAAAGTTTTTTCGTAAGACCCGTAAGACCAATTTATGTTCATTGATCAACTTTATAAGCTAATGACCTACTGGTCTAAAGTTGTACAGTGACAATTTTGTGATTATTGAGAAGTCGCGTGGCGTATATGAATGCTCAAATTGTATATATAATCCAAGGGTTGAGAATTGGTCTTACGGGTCTCAAGAAAAACCTTTGGTCTCACATGATCTCAAATCTCTCTCTCTCTCTCTCTATATATATATATATATATATATATATATATCCACATTTACTGAACATATGTTTAAATGAGTTAAATAAAGATGGATAAGAGATTTAAAGTACATGCACATAAAGAGGGTGATGGTTTAATATTGGTCTAATGTACATATTAATAAGAAACTTAAAATATTAAATCAAAGGAATAGAAGGGTGTCGGATTCATCGGGTTGAGTTGAAATGATCCAAACCCAATTCCAATCAAATACTTATGGGTTGTTTACCAAACGCTTACCGGGTAAGCGTTTATCGATATTTAAAGAGCATCATCCCCACTTACCTTATCAAATAACATTCTCAGCCATCAAAGATTCAAAATGAGTCATTGGTAAGCGTTTTTATCCCGTAAGAATATTCATCCTCACTTACTAGATAAGATTCTAGGTATTTATTATGCTCACCTGTAAGTCAAGTGACATCTGGTAAGCATTCGGTAAACAATCCCTTACTGCTTAAATATTTTACAACCCGATTAGATATGAAGTAGCTTTATGTTGGATCGATCGAGTTATTCGGGTTTTTGTACACCATGCCAAATTGGGTTGCTTTGTTTGCATTGTTCATCAACATTTTTCCCTATCTTTTGTTTCATTAGTATTTTTGAACAAACAATTTAAAGAAATTGTAAACTCTTTAGTATATTTAAATCATTTTGATCTATTTTAATATAGGGCCATTTACCCAATTGCTTACCCGGTAAGCGCTTACCGACATGAGTCAACACTATGATTTATTTTGATGCGCAAGATTTTAGTACATCAAAACATATTGAATGCAATAATTTACTGGGTAAGCGCTTACCTGGGTAAGAGTCGTCATTCTCACTTACCGGGTAAGACTATTCATCATTCTCATTGCTTTTACCTGGTAAGATTCTTGACCCTTCTCATGTTAATCTGATAAGAAAATTTATCCGCTAATCACTTGCCAAATAAGTGTTTAGTAAACGGTCCCATAGTTATTTATAATCTTACCCATTAAACCTCTTAATAATAAAATACAACTTAGGTTTAATCACCAAATAAAATATGGAGGTCAAGGTTTGGTGGATTTGGTTAGAAGTTTAGTAAGGTTAACATGATACTAAAATTGACCTAATTAGTTTTAGGGGCCGTTTACTAAACACTTACTTGATAAGTGTTTACCGGATAAATTTTCTCATTGGATGAATATGAGAAGGGTCAAAAATCTTACCAGGTAAGAGCAATGAAAATGATGGAGAGTTTTACCCGGTAAGTGAGGACGACAACTCTTACCCAAGTAAACGCTTACCCATTAAATTGTTGCATTCGATATGTTTTGATGTACTGGAATCTTATGCATCAAAATAAATCATAGTGTTGACTCCTTTCGGTAAACGCTTACCGGGTAAGCAATTTGGTAAATGGCCCCTTAGTTCAAAAAAATTCCAAATTCTATGACATTTTTAACTTTGAAAGATATGATATCGGTGAACAAAAAAAGTTTCTTTTGGTGAAAACGAATGTGATTGTGATTGTGATTGTGACGTAATACCTTCTCATTGGGTAAGCTATAAGCAAAGATATCCTCAAAAACCTTGATCCACGCCATATCAAGAGTATCTTGTAAGCAATATATATTCTAAGTATCATCCAACAGAATTTACCTGAATTGTTAGAACTTTCACTGATAATTTTGGAAATTCTATGTTCGAAATTTATATCTAGTTGTTGTCTAGTCGATTTTCAAGTGATATATGGATGCCATATTTCAAATTTCAAACCTCTCAAGTATGAAACGAAAAACAGGTTTTTTTAAAGCAGTATTATACTGTTATAAATAGTAAGTTGTAGATTATGCAATATACATTGTAAATTTGATAGAAAAGTAAACAAAGAAAACAAAAAGGGCACATGATGAGCCAACTAATTATGGGCTCTTGAAAAATATTTAAGAGATAAAGACACCCCACTTGTGCAATCAATCAATGTAAATGAATGTAGTTTGACACCCAATAATCAAGAAAATGGGAGTAGGTAAACCAACTTACTAGCAAGATGCAAACTTTTATTATTATTATTAATCTGGATATCCGACCCGTTATACGAGCCAATTAATCCTAGAGGTAACCATCTACTTTGCAGATAGCCTAGAGTCACCGCATTTGAACTTCCGTGTTCCTCCTTAGATTGGCATCAAGAAAAATACAAATTTGAATCGGATAAACTTTTTGAAGTTTGTTAAGAGTCGTACTACCTAAGTTTTCACCCTTTCGAGTTACTTACACCTTTTTTTGAAATAACCCGAAAAGGGTGTCATCTAAACCAACCACCGTTACTTCACGTACACGTGTTTGATTCAAGAAAAACGTAAAAATATCGTCAAGAAACGTTTTTTTCGTAACAAAACTAGGTGCACCTACACATCTTCCAAAACTAAATGTGCCAAGTACATGAAGGATTATAACCCAATTGATACCAAAAGGATTATATTGATAAAGATCCTTAAACCCTAAAAGGGAGTTGCCAAAAACGCAACTTCTCTCTTTGCGCAACACACTTATTTACACTAAATGAACTCCTGAACCAAATGACTGAGATCGAATTTTCCATTGCAGCATTCCACGGCACTTACCACTTGTTGGAAGACCGCAACGCTGCATGGAACCACCAATCCATGTTTCTGTTCGAACCCGAACTCGTCCGAAGCCTTGTCTAACAACATCTTGAAGAGCGGGTGCGACAAGTAACCCGTGGGAACCACGAACCTCCGTCTCTCCTCCCCTACGTAAAGCGCGAGAAACCCGGTTGGGGTTGTGCAAGATGGGGAAGAAGACGGTGACGAACACGCTTCGTCTTGATCCCGGAGTAAGTATTCGTGGTACGACGACGACGACTCGGTGCCGCTATTGACCTTGACTTTAACCTTCTTTGCGAGCTTCTTGACCGAACCCATCTTTCCCAACATGGTGGTCTTGGGAGGAAGTGACAGAGAGAGGTTTATGAATCATGATATTGGGGAAGAAGGGGGGAATATGTAGTGTAGGGCAAGATGGGAAGGGGAATGTCTCAAAGATGGTCAACTTATTGACTTTATAAAAAGGGACTTGTGAGCCTTATGATTGTGTTGGTATTCTTGTGTCATGGAATCTCTTCCATCTTATATCTCCTTTGACTTGCTTGGATGGTTTGGATTTGTTTAATTATAATAATACAACAATAGCATTATTATTATTATTATTATGGTTTTGTGCAAAATGATTAAGTGGTCATAATGATTAAGAGGCTATAATGATATAGTGAAAAATGAAATATAATTGTTTGGTAATTGTTTACGAAGAAATTAGGGCTCTGAATGATTAAGGGAGACTCATGGTACAAAATTATTTAGAGGGTATTAAGATACAGTCTCTGAATTATTAAGAGGTGAATCTTGTTTGGCAAAAGAAAAGTCTGCCTCTTAATGGTTCAAAAATCTTCTGAATGATTTTGTATCATGGAACTCCCTTAACCATTAAGAGCCCTGATTTCATTGTACACAATTACCAAACAATTATATTTTATTTTGCATTATATCTTGAGAGCCTCTTAATCATTATGACCACTTAATCATTTTGCACCAAACCATTCAGCAATTGCCAAACAATCTCTTAGTTGTATAATGTAAAATTTTATTATGAGTTAAAGATAAAAAAAATTATTAAAAGAAAAAATCCAATCAATAGAATATTAACAAATGAGTAGCCATTCAAATACTTGAAAAGGTAAGGCCAAATTGCTAAACATCAATGTAGCTCAAGATTAATCACAATCCTTTCACACATACAAATAATATAAAATCTAGGTTTAAATTTAAAGAGAAACAAAATTCCCCTTGTGGCTACGGAGGTTCAAATGCGGTGACTCTGAGCTATCTGCAAAGCAGGTGGTCACCTTGGGATTAGTCGGCTTGCATAACGGATTGGATATTCAGGTTAATATACAATACATTTATCATATTTAACCCTTCTATCCATCTAAAAAAAATACTTATTTCTTTAATACAACATGTTTTTTAAAAGACTCGGAATGTTATCATATTAAAAAACGTATCGCTTGCTTGTTTATGAAGTAATTTGCTGAATAAACTTAAGAGTTAATCTTTCAATCATAGAACCGCTAAATTATTGATGAAAATACAAGGGTGTTCACATTAATGTTGTTTTCAAAGTTTCGATTAGTAACATCAGATGTAATTAGACCAAAATCCAAATTTGAAATTAATCTTATCTCATTTAGGCCCTGTTTGTTTTTACCTAAGAAGCACTTAATACCCTCTTATGTCTGAATCGGTCAGACCTTAGGGTATTAAGTGTGTTTGTTTTTTTTTTCTTCAATTAAGAGCTTAAAAGCTCTGATTATGTCTGAATTATTTAGAGGTAACATTTTCACTTAAAACCTCTTAATTGCTTTTAGAGCTTCTAATGCTTGCAAAGAAAGCCTAGATTTCAATGATTCAGATTTCAGACGTAAAAACAAACAGTCTGACTGATTAAGATTTCAGACTTCAGCACCACCTCTTAAAATTCAGAAGTGAATTTAGACTTCAGACTTAAGCACCTCTTAAAAAACAAACGCCACCTTAGTTTCTCGATTTTGATTCAACCGTACGTGTTTAAAACTACCCAAATAAAATAACGTATAATATTTAATTTCTTATTTTATTTATCTTTTAGGTTAATATAAGCATATTAAAATGCATTTATTATAAAACAATTTTAATAATATTTTTTATTAATAAACTGAAATGGTTATATAAAATAAAATGAATAGAATTTTTTTAAAGTATATAATATTTATACACTTTAAACATCTGATTTCTTAGGAAGCCAAAAACTACGATACCGATAGGTCAAAAGTACTTTGGTAATAATATTTTTTTTTTCTCATTCAAAAAAAATACCAAAACAGATAGAGTAAGTGTGGTTGGTATGGGTGTAAATGATTATTAATGGTTGGTGGCATTATAAATGTTACATCATCCAACCTATAAGTTTCAACATTTAATCTTTAAATATTTATATAAATGTTTTATTGATTAAAACTTGTAAATCTTCTGCTAAAAGTACGACACAAGTTGTTCATTTATTTGTAATAGCAATAAGACTTATGGATTATTTATTAAATGCTTATCTGGTAAACATTTAGATAAGAATCAACAATCTCATTTCACTGAGTAAGATTCTAGTCCATGAAAATGACATAATATACAACAATTTACTCAGTAAGAGTTAATCAGGTAATAGCCGCACCCTTACTCATCGGGCAGAATTCTCGGTTCTTGTCATTGCTCTTACAGTGTAAGATTTTCGGTTCTTGTCATGTTAATAAGTTAAGGTAAGTGATTCGATAAACACTTAGTGAGTATTGTTTGGTAAACGACCCCTTAATTATGGATTTGACCCTTGTGTTTGGATGTTTCTTTATTACTAGTGTTATCATACTACGTTTATAATATATATTATTCTGATAGTATTTCATTTGTTACATCCATGGTCCCTCTAACTAACACTGTTAATGTTTGGTTGTTATGTAAGGGCTAAATGAAGACATTTTGGTCTTTTCCTATATTTCTCTCGTTTTATTTTTAGAAACAATAAAAAATTCATATAATGTATCAAACTGATACATGTAAATACACACACACATACTACATCAACACCAAACTCCCGCATCAATGCTCTACATGATCGCCGCCTATAATTGTTCTCGTGGCCTATGTCTCTAACCTCCCTTCCATAACACCATCTTTGACACCTTATTCCCACTTCACTGTACCCCTTCTTTCATTGTAACCACGTCAAAATCATAAGAACCTAAATAATCCCCTAAATGGAGGTGTGTATGTCGTGAAGGGAAGATGAAACTAGAGGTGTGTATTGTGTTGTGATTTGGTGGGGGGAAAACAAAGAGGAAGACGAGAACAGGGGTCACAACTGGGCATCGACATAGGTTCAACCTCGATCTTGATATCGAGCATCATCCAAAACAACATGTTTTTTCTCTTCATGTGTTTATGATTTTGTATCTAACTCTGAGTTGTGTCATATGTGTAAATGTGGTGGTATTGTCAATTCATTATAGGTTGGATGTGATTTTGATTTTCCATCTAATTTTGAGTGTAAGGGTTCTTTAGGTGTCGGTTTCAGGTCATTAGAGAAGGTACGAGAAGGCAGATATTTATCAGGAAAATAACGTTGGTGGTGGTTTTGGCCTTCTGGGTTCAGGTCATGGAGGTAAAGTACGAGGGTTGAGTGAGAGGAGGGACACATGTCAACCATGTATCTAGTTGTTTTTAAATTAACGGGTAAAAAGACTAAAGTGCCCTTTAGTTTGACATGATTTTTTAAACAATATTAGTTTGATGGATCATGGTCGTAACAAATTGAATACCACTAGGACCATATCATAAATAAACATAATATAGGAACTCTAGTTGTTCAAAACATCAAAATTCAATGACCAAATACGTAATTTACTCTAACAATAATTAACAAACAATAATATTACGTGAATTCTATTCATACCCCCTCATATAGGAGGTATGTGAGTGAGACGACAAGCGAGTGAAGGGAGTATGAATAGTAGGGTCAGGTTCAAATAAGAAGTTAAACAATTTGCAAAATGACAATAAGTTTCAATATCATATATGATTACACGCATGATACATACACATAATCATACATGATTAAACACATGTTGTATTAACAACACATAGACGATCAATCATATATGATTAAACACACTCGAAGAAGTGTAATCATATATAATACTAAAATTTCCTGCTTCTCATAAATTGTTTAGCTTCTCCCATGATCCCTCCTCTTCAGTAATAACCCTAATATTATTTTCGAAAAGTAAACTTCTAGTTTTCATTTAATATCTAAAAATGCAATAATGTTTTCTAATAAATTTGCACATGTTTGATATATGTATTACTTTATATTTATTATATATATATATATATGACGATATATCCATGATTTTGTCAATCTCATCGCAATTATTGCAACAATATATAATACTAACTACATTATTTATGCAAAGTTTTAAAAATTAAAATCTATACTATATTATAAAGCATTTTACAAAAACTCTTAAAACCTATTTTTTTATGCGTAAAGTAGTGTTTATTAATGCATATTACTTAAAACTCAAGATTGCAAGTATATTGTGCGTAAGTACAACTTATTAAAGCTCCATATCTGAATTCGTATAACTAACTGCAGATAAACATAATCAAATACATAATAAACATCTCATTTTAAATATAAAAAAATCTAAAATACAATTAGGATAATCTTCTAACATAATACTTAATTATTATCTTTATAAAATGTTAAATTATTAAATCAAAAATAAATTGTTTCATTATTAAACTTAAATTAAATTATAATAAAAAAACAAATTAAATAAATTACATAAAAAATGTGAACTTTTAAATAGTTGATTTGATATTAACATTAATATATATATTTTTTTCAAATTTATATTTTATTTAAAAATAAAATCATTATTCCTTTCTTAAAAACATATAAAATCGTATTATAACATCAACAAAGACAAATAATAAAATAAAATATTAAAATCAAGATGTGTCTCGTTGCATTGTACGAGTACTCTTCTAGTTTATTATTAACATACAAAAAAAATATCCAGATAACTACATCGAAAAAAGTACAATCTCGTAAGATGTTTGATAAATAGCTATCACGATTCAATGGGCATGTCAGATTTTAATATGACATGTCCAGTTTTATTTTTTTTAGATAACATAAGAAAACGAAAATAAAACAGTTCCATTAAAAAAAATAAGCAAATAACTATATATATGATTATTAAAAAAAACACAACTATTTAAATTTATTAAATATTTGAATTATTTTATTAAACAGAAATTAAAATAAAGAAGGTTGAAAACAGGGGAAGATTATTATTGATTTGAATGTATGAATATGGAGGTCCCCCTTCCCCAACTAACCATAACGTGCCTGATTGAAAGATTCTTCCACCAACAAAACCGACGGATGCAACTATTTTTATAACA